TAAGGGTTCCCCTAAAAAGTCTTGCTAGCTGGATTTGAGGGGCCTATGTTTTGGACCCCCCTGACCACACCCACCACTGGAAATACGGCAGACTGCCATTTTCATACATAGGTAACCATGCAGGTCATTGCCAGGTACAAGAAAATTGGTGATCTTTTCGGGTATGCTCAACCCTCTGGGATCCTGCAGCTGCTCTCATAGGGTCCCCTAATTTTCACAAAAATAAAATGGTGATGGTGACTTATTTGTTAGATGATGTTATTGCACGCTCAATATATTGTTCAAAAGATGGTTTTACACAACGTATGTATATAGGAAATATGGGGAATGAAAAGGTTTGTAATTTTAATCTAGCTTGTTTACTTCGAAAGGGAAGCGACTGCAGATGTGTTGCTTTTATTTTATTGCTCTCATGTAAAATCTACAATACAATGAAGCTGTTCAAAATTATAACAAAATAGCCTGCGGTAATCCTCATTCTTGAAACATATTCTTGTAACGATATAAACGTTGTTGATCTTCAATCATCAAAAATTCGATGTAATACCCCAGGTGCAAAGCGACTAAGAGCATAAAGCGTCCTTTTCAGTGATACGTTGAAGTGGGGCGGTTAATTGATTAAAAATCTAACCAATAAGAGCTTGGCTTCGTTCTCAGTAAAGAGATGTGGTTGATCGCATTCGGTGCCTTATTTAACCACTATATTCGAAGTGGAAAACGAAGACATGTCACACCGTCAACTTAGTGAGCACCACTGCCGTCTGAAATGAACAATGTGATTTTATTAGAATTCTGTTCATAGTGTTACGAATATCTGAATGAAGTGAGAACGACAGTGTCATATTATAAATGAAAAAATCCATTATTTCTTTTTAGAGGGGGGGGGGAGATAAAAATGTAAGTTAATATATTGGTGAAAAACAGCACATACCTGACACGCAGACATTAACAATGTTGTAGTCAGTCAAGTATCTATTGTACACCTGGCCGTAAGGACAAGGTCTGAAGAAGGCGTTACCAGCTTCGTCACACTGGATGTAGCAGCGTGGGTCGCTATGCTCGTAGTAGAAACGGTTTGGAGCGTAGACCTTAGTGTGCTTGCCGTAGCCGTCCACGCGGTACACCTTGTTCAGGGGTGGACACTGGACTAGATGTATGGAAGAAAAATAGCAATGATCAAATTTCTCTTGTCATCAGTGTTCAATTATATATATTCGTCGTTAACACGTCGGTGAGTTTAGATGCACTGCCAAAATAAAGAGGATTTATACTAGAAAAAGCACACGGAGAGCGCAGACCTCCGTCAAATACTGGACTAAAACAGCTGTAACTATTGGTTAATGAATAGATAAACAACACAAACTAATCACTTTAAAATTAGCCCATTTTTCTCCTGTTCTTTATAAAAATCTTTTTTTATAAAAATCCGTCCATACTTTTTTAGGATGGTAACGAACAGACAGTCAAACAAAAAAAGGTGATGAAAATATCATCTCTTTGTGTGAGGTAATTACGCAAGAGTTTTGATGTTGAGTACTCTGAACAGACAATGTCTAACAATCGTCATATATAGGTCGTTTTGAAGATACATGTAACAGAAAATTGAGAAATAAAGTGAAAGATACATCCACGAATTTTCCTCTCTGGTGACAAAAAGTGAAAAATGTAGTTTTTAGTGTAAATCCTTTAAATAAAAGTCACGCCTTGCTATTATGGGGACATTTTCGTATTTAGTAACGGAAGTTATAAAAATATAAACCCTTTTGGAAAATATTTGCACTGTTTTAATACAAACAGAAGTTAGACTGTGCTAAAGGGGTGTTACAAGATGCACGTTTATTTTTACTGACACATTTTGGATCTCAACCTCGTATATTTTTTCACAAGGACTGCCAGCGAAGGCGTTGCAAATTACTTTTTAGAGAATACAGTTTTGTTGCGTTTTATGTAAGATATTTAACTATGCACTAGCTGTCCCCAATTTGTCTAGCTAATCATGGACGTAACTGAATTGAAGATTTTATTAATGGCTTAAATATTACGGAAACATCAAACAAATAAAAATGATGACCTGCGGCAAAAGACGTGACGAAAGTTTTATTTCTTTTATTTTAATCCGTCGACACCACGAAAGTAGGCGCAAGTGAATTATTGAGTTATTAAAAATAAACAATCTAGACATTTTTCTGAGATGTTAAACATAATACTTGCTTCCTGACAAGCTGCAGATTTTCAACTGTGGTAAAAATAAACAAGGTCGATTGGAGAGATGTGAGCTAATTAGCAATCGACAGCTGAGAAGGTTTAAAACTTAGACCGTTTATTTTTTGTGCGATAACAGATAAATCTAACTATTATTATTTTCCATTTTTAAGGTGCTACATATACAGGGTTGCTACTTAATATGGAATATTTTTTATCATTGTTATTTTTGAGTGCTGATTAAAATTTTTTTGGCTTGAGTCATTTAAAAAGTATGTCACTGAGTGATAATAACATCCAGTCTTCTGTTGTGAGATATTTTGGTCAATAATATCAAATCTGACATAAGATGCCATTCAAAAGAAAGGAACACCCCCAGAAAACCATATCAACAGTTTGATGTCAGTATAAACCTTAAGATATAAAAGAAAATGATAGCCTCCGGACAGTGATATGTTACAAAGTCAAAGAACTCACTACAGTTATTCATGAAAAGTCAGTAATTGCGGGTATGACCTCCAGCAGCCGCTTGCAGCGCCCTCATCCTACATGGCATACCCTGTGACACGTTTTTTATAGTTTGGGTGGGGATATCATTCCACGCAGTGATGTTTGCCTGTCGCAGTTCATCACTATTTACCGGCCGAAGACCATAGCTATTAATTCTGTGAGTTATTCCCGCCCACGGATTTTCAATTGGGTTCATATCTGGAGAGTTTGCAAGCTAGGGCTGAACCCATTGGTTTTGAAGAAAAACAGTGATTCTGCGGCCTCGATGTGGGGTTGCACAGTCGTCTTGGTACACAAAGTTGTTCCTGAAGATGACTCTTACCAATCGAAGCATTGTTTGCTGTAGAATGTCTCTGTAGGAATCCTGGATGAGGTTGCCTCCTAGAAAAACCAACTGGTTCTGGGCACCGACATGAAATGCTCCCCAAACAGAGACGTTACCATCCCCTGCTTGCACCCTAGGCAGTACACAATCATCGTTTTATGCCCCTCGTACACGTCGGTGGACACGGATTCGACGATCAACCCTAAAAAATCAATATCTGGCCTCATCACTTATATTAAAACGACGTGATTCCAGTGTTTTGGCTGCAAACGCACGTGGTCTCCAGCCCATTGCAGACGTCGCTGTATATGACCTGCTGTTAACAGTGGTTTCCCTACTGGCCTTTGTGCAAAATAACCGGCTTGCAGTAATCTCTTGTTCACGAGGGACCTTGAAACGGGCGTTTGAATGACATTCTGCCTCTCTTTTCTGAGGACGCTGGTTGTCTTTGTTCGACCAGCACGGCGTCCTCTAAGGAGAAGGCGATCCTGTCTTCTTGGTGTGATACGCGGACACCCTGGTGGAGGTATTGGAGTAGGTACCCCTGCTGCAGCATTTCTTTGGAGGACTTCACAAACGGTTCCTGATAAATGTTGAATTACCTGGCAATGGCTGTCGGTTTCTGGCCATTTTCTCTGAGAGCAAGAATCCCATAGTAAGCTGCGTTGCTTAGCTGTCGAACCATATCTTCACTAAGGTACCTGTCAAGTTTCAGAGCGATCCCTTTGTTGCTTCTCTAAACACACTCCAAAGATTGACCAAACCCATGCGTTTTTATACAAGGGCAGAAATTGCCGAAAAGACCACCCCTCACATTTCTGACCACAGAACATGCAACTGCATGCATCAATTGTTTCGAGAGTTGTGTGGTAATTAGGTAACACACCTGGTTACACATGGAGTGACACCTCAGCTTTGGATTTAAAGTAGTTAGAGAGAAATTAAATATTTTGTAGATAATTTACTCGCCCAAAAATAATATTCCATATTAAGTGGTAACCCTGTAGACGAATCAGTAAACTTCCTCTTAGACAAATAATCCTTCCATTCGGTTACTTTTAATAAGATAGCAAAAAAGGTTAACACACACACACACACATATATATATAAGGAACGAGTTTTATGATTTTCACACTTCTAGGAAAATAGCCATGTTGTAACGTTGTAATTAACATACTGAAAACCAGCCCTTTCATAATGGTGAAAGTGCATACACATTATATATATATATATATATAGAGAGAGAGAGAGAGAGAGAGAGAGAGAGAGAGTTGATCGTCATGATTTATACTCACAGTATTCATGTCTGCACTGGTAAGTAGGTGGATGGTACGTTGGAGGTGGGTAGGTTGGCTGTTGGTAACTTGGCTGTTGGTAGCCGTAGCTGATCTGTTGTCGTTTGGGTGGGTAGGGTCTGGGTGGTTTATGATCATCACCCCACTGAGCTGAAACAACAGCAGTCACACCGAGGGCGACAAAAAGAACTTGCAAGGTCTTCATTTTCTTTAGACGTCTGTGCTCTAGAGTGAGATTGAATTCCCCTTCTGTGGAACAAGTGGTCTGTGATTGGCAAAACGCGCTGGATATATGTGACTTGTCCCTTATATACCTGTCCAACTAAACGCTGATGTCAATGAAGGGTTCGGATTTACAGCCGGAAGCTCCCTTCATTCTTTAATCTTTGAGAAAAAGGATGGTTACAAATGCATTCGCCTAGGGTGCTGTACACATGTATTTGGAACCTTTGCCATCTTGTTGAGATACATCTCAACGAAGGTTGTTTTATGATCCTTCCGAGCGGTAACAAGTTGGTGCATTGTACTCCTATCAATCGCAAACGCACCTTTAAAATATAACAATTTTAAATAATGCAATGCCATTGGTAAAAAAAAACTCTCCAAACGTTTGGAGCGAGATAATAGATTGTTTAAAAGTGTAAGTGCATGGGGTGATTTAAAGAAAATATTAATTACCCGGGAAGGCCAAAATGTGCAGTATATGAAAGTAGGAGTAGTTTTCAAAACTCATTATTAATTGAATCATACAATCGTTATATCTTATTGTTTATAAAATCTTCCAATTAGCTTTGTTGTAATCGACCAAAAAGCTTTCTGGTGGATAATTAATTATGTTTCACTGTTTTCATAGTCGGGATGGCAGAGGGGGGGGGCGTTCTTAACTGTAAAGCTACTTAAACAGACTACCTGCAGAATTCAAAGCACGTATACACTTTCACCTTCACAGATGGGATGGGTGTACAATATAGTAAAGATTTTTCCAGCGTCTTAGTACAGGAAGCGCCGTTTTGTTGCCAATGAATCATGCAGCCCTTCTCAATGTATTCATGCCTAAGGTGAGAGTTAAAATGGCAATATTCCAGTAAATCACCATTATATCACATCTCTGGACAATACCTCATCATGCTGCCCACTCCTAAATGCTGTAATACACTGCAATACTTAAAAGAAGACGTTATTATAGCCATTAAATCAAAAAGCAATTTTAATAATGATCAAAGCTTAGGGCTGTAAGTTCATCCTGTTATGGGATCTTAGTAGAACGTTTCTCTTGATGAAAAGCAGTGAGGACTTTGCCGGTTGGCGTTCTTCTTTAAACTTTTTTGCATCAAGCTTCTGGAAGGGTTTTGAAAATCTGCTGGATTTCAGAGCCAAAACGGTGAGCACCGGTTTTTGTTAAGGTAACATATGTGTTTAAGTAATCGCCGTGTATGGGTAGTACGTTTAATGGTGATTGCCCTGTGTAAATTAGAACTGCTGATCAAAGCTGTAAATTGGTGTGGAATCTCAATAAATTTGTCACGTTATTCTTGATACAGATTGATTTGAGGATTTTGACATCGAGCTCGTCGCATCGAGCGAGTGAAAGTGTCTCAAAAGCTGGCTCCTTATCAAGTCAAAATAGAAGGTTTTAGTTTTGTCTCAGGTGTGGTTTTTTTAAAAGATATGCGTTCAGTGCATAAAACCACGGTGCATTTTTTATCATGGCTTTCTGAAAAATATTATTTGTTGTGAATAATGAATCGATGACGAATTGATAATACAATAAAAAAGAAATATTATAGGCAGTCGGATGTTTAATTTTTATTTGTTGAATGACAAACCCGTTACCCACTTTGACTTATAAAAATAAGGCTGCATCGACCTGGTCGAAGTGTGATGCAGATGTCTTAAGTGATATTTTTGTAACAACTCTGGCCCTTTATATGACACCCAATTCTTAAGAATGCACCTGATGGATTGAAAAAGAACGTCAGGAGTACGGTGTGTACCTATACGCATTTTTATGAGTACAAGTTACATGTATCAAAAAATAAAAAAAACATACATTTGAAATAATGACTGAAGCAAAAAAAATAATAATAATAATTTGGAAGGCGTAAATTTATCCGAGGCTTGAGTCTTATTCGGATGTGCTTGCATTATCCAGAGTGTACGACCCATTGAGAGGAGCTAGGACCCAAGAAATTATAGTACTATTTCTATTTGTTTCATATATACTGATTGGGCACCAAGGTCTGAAGGACAGCTAACTGCATTCCATTACAACTTGGACTGATAAAACATTTTTGATTGTCCTAGATTGCAGTTCACTTTTCCTGCATTGCGATTTGTTTTATGGTATTTATACGACCATCCTATCACAGGAAACGCAATCTTATAGCTATACGAGCAGTAGTGGGAACTTTATTGTCTGCGGCGTGAGATTTGTATTGATACCAGTATTCCAGTATAGTATATTTTTAACTTACTGGTAGTCATGATAGAATAACATACCGTTAAAAGAAACATCTGAATTTAAAAAGGTACTTATACTTATCCAATATATATTATGTAGGACTAGATACAAAATGTTTTGAGCCTCATAAATGCCCCCAGTCAGATGCATGTAGTACAAAGTAACAGTTATATACTAAACCACAACTGATGTACATTTAACTGGGATTATTGAGTGCAATTGTTTATTACAGTGCTTTCTACACGTGGAAGAGGCATACCCCCAAGCACCCACCCCAACAAAATCCGCCATCAGATTCTGCTACGACATCTGATACAAGGACAACGTGCACGTGCCAGTCCACACCAGCCGAGTTGCGGATGAGGCCGTGCGTGAGTGTGGTTATGAAACTCGAGATCCCATCACCTATTAATAATTATGTTCTTCTGAACCAATGACTTCTACCTCTTTCCCAGGTAAGAGAAAAACAATTTCATGACAAGAGATACATGTATGATGATGATGATGATGATGATGATGATAATAATGATGAGATGACCGCTGCCGTGGAGGGCTGGTACCCTCTACCAGGGTGGCAGATATTATAGGTACATTTTTCTTATGTCCACCCTGTAACTTTTGGCCAGATGAAAGCAATTAAATCTGCACGCGTGCAGGTGGCATTGCACCCGCTCTCTAGGGATTCCTCAGTTAATTTTAATCTGAAATAACAAGCTGTTGAAAAGGGGCTATTTTTTCTGTCACAAAAGAGCAAGTGATTAAATTCAGAGCAATTAACTGTCTTAATTGCTGTTAAGGGGACTTGGGTTGGGCCTGTTAAATGGTAGTCCATGGGCAGTTATGCAAACAATTACCAGCCATGTAATCATCCTTGAGATTTCATAACAGGGTCCTGAGAACAGAATAACCGTCTATTTATCTAAAGACATATCTGTGAATATCTAATGAAAAATCAATCTGTGGTTGAAATCTACCACCAGGGTATCAGCGACTGGCAAACTAGTTAAAACAAGCGACTGGAGCTGGAATGAGACTAATATCAAAGTGGCATAATAATAAATACGAGCTCTTTCTGTGTGTTACTCAAACTGTTTATATACCCCTTTGTATATACTCTGCAGTCTACATTATTATACAAATTTTCTTACCAAGTGAATTAAATGATTTTTTGTGCCATAAAGTAGAAACAATGCGTTAGATTTTCTTAATTCGTTATTCGTGACATCTTATATCTGCTTATTTTGATTAGTAAAACCCAGTATATTTTAGTTGTAGAGTTTTTTTTTTTTTTTTAATAAACTGTTTACGGCAGTTATACTACATGTATTCACGCGGTACTGCTGTCGGTACCCCTATTATGGTAGTCTGATTTGTTTTATTCCTTCTTTTTCTTGTTTTTCTGCTTTCTTATTATTTATTTATTTATTTATTTATTTATTTATGGGGGGAGATTCTTATGTTTGCAGTTGTTGGACAAGGAATCTTAAATCTCTTAATTGCATTTCGAAATAATCTTAAGATGCGTTTCTCGTATAGTATTGAGACCTTGGCGGTTTCTTACATTTAGCATTTTTAAAATCAGGCTTGAGTGTAAATTTCGGGAAATTTTTCTTTCTTGAGAACTAAAACTCTCGATTTTCACTGTGTTAAGTTGACAAAAGCCGAACACGTAAATTTAAAATTATTTGAATGCTTTATTGCTATGTTCTTTAGATTCTACAGTTGAGGCATGCATAAGATTGTCATATCTTTTGTACTAAGCTTTAACAGCATAAAGTTCATAAACTTTTCGTCTATTGTTCAATTGCTTGTGGCAGTTTTTATAACTTAAATACTCTTTCTAAATTAACATAAATATCTTTTCCAGTGCAAAGCCATTTCACAAAGCTCAAAGCGATGTCTCCGTTTATGCGACGGGTGTGGCACCTGATTGGTTAAAAATCAACCAATGAGGTGATAGCACGCATCGTGGGTATGCTCATTGTCTCGTTGTCTTCCCGTGCAGTGTCCCTTATTAGGTGCTGAAGGTCGACTTAGTGTCTATTGCTGCCGTCTGGAAAAGATATACTGGGATTCAATGATTTTTTAGAATCTGTTGGAAGAAACATTAGGCACGACCAATCTCACCTCCATGTACCAACATAATCGAACATTTCCAAAATACTTTTTTCTTTCACATTTTTCTTTATCTTTTTGGAGCTCAAGTTAATCTTAATGTTAATCATAATTTTTATGTAAATATTATATTTAATAATTTTGTAATCCATTTCTCTGTACAACTTTAAACTTCATGTTATAAATAAACTTATTTTTATATTATACCGTATTGTAGTCAAATGTTTTTCCTAAGGTGTTTGGAAAAGGTTTAATTAATTGTGAATCTGTGACTGCACATACCTGACACGCAGACATTAACATTGTTGTAGTCAGTCAAGTATCTATTGTACACCTGGCCGTAAGGACAAGGTCTGGAGAAGGCGTTACCAGCTTCGTCACACTGGATGTAGCAGCGTGGGTCGCTGTGCTCGTAGTAGAAACGGTTGGGAGCGTAGACCTGAGTGTGCTTGCCGTAGCCGTCCACGCGGTACACCTTATTCAGGGGTGGGCACTGGACTAGATACGTGAAAGAAAAGAGAAGGATATTTTTTAAAAATAACAGTTTTAAGACAGTATTCAGTGGTATATATTTTTTCCATTGGGAATGCCATTCATACGTTGCGGTGGACGGATTATTCAGGAGAGGTTTTCTCCAATTCCTATTTAGAACTATTTCAACATATCTCATTATGCTTAGACCTTGCCATGTATCTTCACAAAGTGCATAATTTTATATTTTGATCTACTTTACAATAAGCATAATTCACAGATCTTTTTAAGCCGCGCGACTTTTCTTCAATCGTGAGGCCAAAAAAGTCTATTTTGCTATGTGTGTGTGTGTGTGTGTCTGGGGGGGGGGGGGGGTGGAGGGCGGTGGGGGTGCCAAAAAACATTTATACATTTTTTTAGATTTTTTTTTTTTTTTGATATTTTTTCTGTGTGCGCTTCTCTGTTAAACCTAGTAAAATTTGAAAATGCACAGCCGCCTGCATTATCAAAGTGCCTTATTCGTAAAACACTGTCATAAAAAAGAATATAGCTTTGCAATAAAATACATACTTGGTTTGAATCCGGTGATTTGCATTAATCTTACGAGCTTGTTATGCAAAATATCATGTTTTATGACCATTAAATTCTTAATGCAATAAACAAGCATAGGAAACTGGTTTTAATATACACAGCGTAGAGTTACAAGAACAATTTGTACAAACAACAGTTGAACTAACCAGCCCAATATTTCATTGTCAAGCAAAAAACACAATTTACCAATGAAATAATACTGCTAGGTGTTTTAGTAGCCTACGCCTAAGAAACGCAGTCACCCCTCCCCCCCCCCTCCCCCCTTCCTTTCCTCCTTCGGCAGAAAAGGGTGTCAGGAAGAAAGGCCATACCGTTTCTGTTCACGATTGCTCTTTTGGTTTCATATTTTGCTCCAGGACTTTCCGGTATTGTTCTTAACAAGGATCACTATAAAAGGTTTTTATTTTGCCAAGGAAAGCACTGAGGCTATTAAGTGCATTCAGAAAATATCATTCAGGGCACACGTGGCCAGTAATTGTGATATCTGTCTATAATATTTCGGGCAATCTTTAGGAAACATGCTGCTCCTGAATTCCTGATTAAAACTCGACGCAATATAATTTGTCCAAGACACTACCGCAGCTCACAATGGCATGTACATGTACCATTGCAAGTAAAACCCGTTGTTGAGGGGGGGGGGGTTACGACATAAAAAGAATAAAGCGAGAGGCCTTACCTTAAAATTTATTTTGTTACTCGACTAAGTCAGTTAAAATGCGTAGCTCTTTTGCTTAGATCGATACTGATAAAGTAGTTTTAGAAGGTCCCATGGGTATTTTCCTTTCCCGTGAAAGCCACTTTGTAATATCTCGAGATGCGTGAAATGTTCAAATTATTAGCGCGACCCATGTCTCATGAATGCGGCTTTTTAATCCTAGTCCTTCGGGAAAACGAATAAAGTTTTATTTACTGTGGTGACCTGACGGTTTGATCAGTACCCCTGCCCCCCACCACCACCCCCAAGGCTTTCTTCATTTATTTATGTATTTCTTTATTTTTATCATTTTTAGCTACAGTGTAGATGTGCTAGATCTGCTAGATGTATCTTATTTTCCTTATTTATTTATTTCATCTGCCGTTTTGATTCTCAGTGAACAAATTCGAGTTACGATTTTCAAAGAATATGTAGGCGATCACATGTCCATTCTTGACTTAATACCCTTGTTTTACACAAAAAAAATTAAGTCAGCTTTCCTAACTAAGAACTTGGTTATCAACGTTACATGGTCACATGCACACATCTTACTCTATCAGTGTTACAGGACTCTCATGGAAATCCTAGTCTGGTAACGTCCTAATCAAAGGACTTATTTTTTAAATGTGAAACTGCGACCAGAGATACCGTTTTCTGCCGATTCTGTGACAACCCCCCCCCCCCCCCCGACACCCCCCTCCCCAAAGACACCGCGCATCCCAGGAAAGAAAATACACTGCTTTTGAATTATCTATTTTAGGTATTTATACATTTCTTGAATATTTTACTTAATATAAGAAATGAGACAGAAAATTCAGTAAAACAAAGGTATTCCCTATTAATTATAAGATTCAAGAAGTTCATTTACGCGCAAAAACAGATGAAGGGGTTATCTTAAATGATAAGAAGATATGAATCCAAATTTTGCAAATTTGCCATGTCATGTCATTTTTAAATCTAACACATACTATCATTTTGCCTTTTTTTTCTAAAATCAAACAAATCTCAATTTGCGTACATTTCATTTGAAGTTAGTGAGTTATTTTAAAGAGGTGAAGTAATTGATGATAATAATAATAATAATAATAATAATAATAATAATAATAATAATAATAATGAAATTTGAAAAAGAAATTAAGTTGGGAAGGTTTTTTGTTTATGCCATGAGATCGTGCTGAAACAATTAAAACTGGCAGTTAGTTCATCCAAAGATTACCTTGATGAGTGATGTTATCTGTTTACCCCACCTCTACCTGGGGATGCACCTTGATTCGAGGCAGGCATTTATAATTTTTCTCAGTATCACATTGTACATTCTCATTATATTCATTACAGCGGGAATTGTCTGGGGAGGGGAGGATTGTCCAGGGGGTGGTCCTGATACATGTAACCTTTCTGCCACTTCAATATCCCCCACCGAAAGAAAAAGAAGCCAGAGTTATGGATGACTGCGATCATTCGCGAAAGTAATGTCTACGGAATTTATGAAAACTACCAAGAGTACGTACAAAAATTTACTTTGGATACTCTCAAAGTTGAGAGAGAGAGAAGGAGAGAGAGAGAGAGAGTTATGCTGTGCAAGTTTTGCTGCCGTTATTATTGTCCATCGTTTTCTCTATAAAACTCAATCCTTCTGATAAAATCCCACTTAATTCTATTTCCATTAAATTGGGCTCCATAAGTAGTGACGTCGTGTTAAGCCAAAAAGGCGTTTTATATTGTTATAAATTATAAAAAGTACTTATGTTGTAGGCCTATTCATGCCACTGCCTCTTTGATAATAGCAACATACATTCCCTCCAACCATGCCCCTTGGTGCATGTGCGGGTTGGCCTGTCTTTCCATTAAAACACCAATGCCCTTTGAAGTCTAAATTTTAAAGCTGGTTTCTTTACAATATCAAATATATACTCACAGTACTGATGGCTGCAGTAATGGGTCGGCTGATGGTAGGATGGTTGCTTGTAGGAAGGTGGATGGTAGGAAGGTTGTTGGTAGCTCCTCTGTCCATACTGACCGTACTGACCTCTTGACCAACCAGCTTGGGCGCCAACCGCGACCATGGCGACGATAACCAGCAGGATCTTCATTTTCCTTCGACTAGAGCACTGAACGGCGAGATAGAGCTTCTCTTTTGGAAACAACGGACGTCCGTGAATGACCAAGCACGATGGGCAAATGGAGCACGCGCCCTTATATATATATCTGGCCATAGGGACTTAGAATGGATCAGAGAGACGAGATTTACACCCAGAGGCACTTCTCATTGCGTATGCTATACAGGTTCACCAGAAAGTCTGTCTACAACGACATTTAATGCTTTTTGATATCAATAAGAAATGTAGTAAATCTTGAGAAGTTTTTGATGGTGTCTTTTCCCTTGGGGTACCGTTTGGATATCCTGCCATCTTAAAGCGTCGAATGCCAACGAAAACGGTTTAACGATCTTTTTAACCAGGTGCATCGGTGTTAGCTGGTGTGTGGTTTGGCAGTCTTCCCTGGCAAACACTTATTTACGGCTATCAACCGCCCCCCCCCCCTCAAAAAATGTAATTAAAAATAATGAGAGAGAGAGAGAGAGAGATCTTAACACTTTTCCTGTGTGTGGGGGGGATACATGTGTAAATGTTGTAGTGAAAAAGTTTTTGCGAGTAAATGTACATTGTATTCGTACTGCTGTTTCTGCAGGTGCGTGTATTGGGTGGTCAGGTCGGATATAATGAATAGCTTTTCCAAGTTAAGTACAGGTACATCAAGAAACGGGATACCCACCGATAGCCTCGCTCCTCATTTTATCTGTTGAAAATTTTGAAAATGAGAAAATGCAACTGTCGAATAATTTTATACAGTGTCAGAAACGAATCATTATAGCTTCTTCATTTCTCAACGGCAGCAAAACAAAGTTCGAATAATAAAAGATACTTTAAAGATAATTAAAGAAAAACTTATGAGATAAAAAAAACCAAGAGCGATTAAGTGCTTTGAGATGACAAATCAAATGTCGAATACTCCAGCACAGGAAATGTTTTACAACCGTTAAAGATTCTCCAGTGTACTTTTAACAACATTTTAAGATTAATGTATTCTAGCTGAAGGTGTGTAAATGCTCATTTCGACAAAAACTTCGGACACGTGCCTCTCTTTACAATCACACCAGTCTCAATAACGACACCATTTTAGAAGCGTCTAAGGGAAGAATTGAACATTTAGTTGCAACGACTTTTAAGTTTCCTTTTACAATACTACCAGACCAGTAGTATCCTGCTATCCAGTTTTTTTTTTTTTCACAACAAACTGAATTTTCCTCAATAATAATAATAATAATAATAATAATAATAATAATAATAATAATAATAATAAAAATAACAATGATTCTTTTTCTTTTTCTTCTTCTTCTTCTTCTTTTTCTTCTTCTTATTAAAATTACATCCGCCAAGGAGGTTATGTTTTCATCCCCGTTTGTTTGTTTGTTTGTCTGTTTGTCATCAACGTTAACATAACTCAAAAAGTTATGGATGAATTTCGATGGAATTTTCAGGGTAGGTCAGAAATGTCTTCTGGAATATTTCAGAAGCAAGCATCATCATCCAGGGTAGGCCTACTTTTATTTTAGGGTTTTGAATGTCTGAATCAGGGAAGATAAGTACAGTAGCTTCACCAGAAAGTACTATACAAATATGATTTAAAGGTATTTTCAAAGAGAAATAGTAAGAACTCCGCACTGGTAGACTGAAGGGGGGGGCACGTGACCCCCCTCTTAGCTTCAGGGGCATCTCCAACACCCACTTCTCCACAAAAAAATAATAAGAAAGTTTAAGTAGGCCTACCGTATTACAAACAAAAGTAGACAATCGCAAGCGAATTTTTCATCTCTGTGCCCCACTGGAGTTACTAACTATTATTAAGTAAATTGTCGTCGTGCACTATTATATTTTTTTCTGTCCCTGCCCCTCCCTCCCCCGCCTCCCAAGTCTAAACCAGTGAAATTCTGCGCTTCACATAACCATGCAGTTCCGCCAAAACGTCACTGAAAAAAGCGAAAAAGCGCCGGATTCAACTAGCCCCTACTATCCACACGTTATTAATAAATGTTCCGAAACAATCATCATAAGCGTCTGTATCTGGACGCTGCACGTACTTCGTACCTCTGGCGCCTTACATGTGTTTGTCATTGTTTCTAAGATGTAAATTCAACGGGAAGTGGCTCGTCTTGGTGATATGGCTACTTTATGTAGCATCGATTTACTGGAGTTTTCCTTTACAATGGCAGGGTCTGTGTATTTTGAAAGTCCAAGTATTGTGTGGTGGATTCTGGTGCCTTTTGGCATGTTTCTTACTTCGGTGAGGTTTAGTATTTTTAAATATATAGCCAAACGATAGGTTTAGATGCTGTCAAACCTAAATATTATTTTCCGGTTCTGTAGAGAAGGTGAGGCAGATGGAAATGGGGGGCGGGGGGTCTCCATTTCACTGCTACCAGTAAACATCCGTGAACTAGTAAAACAATAGTCGCAAAAATAGAACATAATAAAATTGTCACCGAAGGTCGATCGTTATCCCTTTTGAAAAAGAAGCCATCATTTTGTAATCAGTGTCTAAGTATATTTTAATTGCCTACACCTTCTTGTATACTAGCCAAGTCCCGCCACATCAAAGGTGCTCATATCTGAGTACAAAGTCCCCCTCAGGCCGCCATTTAGCAGGTCTGTCTTTGTTTTTCAGGCCTCCGGCGTACTGGCCTAGGTTGACCAGAGAATGTCTGAGTGAAAGAAACTTTCTTGTAGTTTTAGTGATTACATTGAATGGGATGAGATCATGAGTTGAATCAATTACTAGCACTGGTATAATAGTAAAATACTGAATAACTGGGCACTGCATGAGAATGTCTGAATGAAAAAAGCCTTTTTGTAGTGTAAATGAGATGAGTTGAATCAAGCATTGGTATACTGTACTAGTATTTAACTGGGTAGTGCATGGAGAAATACATTATACATGTACATGTAAGAGTAGATACTTGGCTCATGTAATTGGATAACTAATTAAATGATTGGATGGATAAATCAATGCGTAAATAAACAAAGGGATTAATAATGTATGGATGAATGAATAATTAAATGAATATGCATATAGTGAAGAAAAAGCTCCAGCAAATCTCCCCATGCTATTTATTTTCTCATCATAATCCTACAGGTAGTAATGATAGATAAATTCAACAAGTGAACAGAGTAACATAAAATAAGGAGAGGGTTTTATTATGTCGTTTTTACTGTTTGACATTTCCAGGTCACATACTTGTCACCAGAGTCTATATGTTACCTGGGACCTCTGGGGGAATTTGCCAGGTGGCTGGGGACTAAACAACCTGGGATTGCAGCAGTTATGTAAGTGGTGGTATTATAACAGGGAATGAATGGATACTTTTGTTTTATTTCAGACATCCCCTCTC